TAATACTGATAAGAAAGCCCTGTCCGTTTCAGCTTGCGCTTATTGAGAATGTAGTACTGGACATTGGCCCAAATACCACAAACCGCGGCGGCAGTAGTGAGACCTGTTATAACTGTCCATCCGTTGCGATACTTCGGTGCATCCTCTTCTCTGAATAGCTGCTTACCAACAATACCTGAACAGTTGGCGGCCATGATGAGGATGGCCATTGTGATGGAACGTTCACCGGCGGACTTGGCGTTGGCAGAGACCCAAGCGCCATTGACAGGATCTGCGGTGTGCGTCAGTTACATGATTCGCCAGTTAAAGACGGGAATTTGAACCTACGCCAAGGAAACGAGAATGCCGTTGACAGAGTCAACATGGCAAATCTCGCGTTGCGGCCGGCATCTATCAGCAGATAGTTGCCAAGCTGTGTATTATTAGCTGGGAGCTTCGCCAAGAAGAAGCACGTGATAAAACATCAACTAACATTGAAGCCCCAGAATATGAATAAGCCTAGGAACACCCATGGACCACGGACTCCCGTTTTATCGCTGCGAAAATCAGTCATTCTGTTTTGTTTTGATGGTGATCATCTTGGCACAGAAGTGCTTACGCAGTGAACCCCCATAAGAGGTTGATTGGAATCAAGAGCCAAGCGCCAACTGAAACCATGGCATTGGATTCCAATCTCTCGAACCCCATTGAGTTCACGAGAGAGGGCGCATAAGATGATAGAGTAGAAGATGGTGCCAGGGCAGCAATAGTGAAGATAACATGGGGAATGAGTCTCCAGTTCGTCAACTAAATCCACGTGAGCCAACAATCGATGACGCCCAGGTTACGGGAGTCCAACACGTACCGCTGATCTCAGCTCTGGCCAGCTGACCGAGCGCTTCGAATGAGCCTTGGACGGGTCGTCGATCATGACTCTCTTATACAAGATTTCGGCTTCCCGTTCCGAGAAGTAGCGAAAGCCGAGCATCGATACTGGTTTGTTGACTTGGTTGGGGAAGCAAGCAAAAAAGGCGATGCCGACTAAAATTGTGAAAATTCCCTCGAGCTAGCAATCAGCCGTTAGTTTTCTCCAAATTCCCTCTTTGTTTGCCGACTACTATCTTTCTCCGCTAGGTCAACCCAACTTACGATAAAAAGCCACTGCCATCCAGCAAGTCCAGCAATGCCTCTCATGTGCAAGCTTAGGGCACACACTTTGTCAGCTCTTGCTCGAGATTGACGGTAACTCATCGTTTGTGATCGACTCACATCCCGTACGCTATGAGGCCTGAGCATGCGGCAGCTAGCATGTTGCCAATGAAGAACCACGAGAACCTTTTACTAGTCTCATCTCTCTTATACCAACGCGTCATCGTGAAAAGAGCTGCAGGAATGAAGCCTGCCTCGCAAAGGCTACATGTCCGATTTGTCAGTTTTCTTCAGATGGAATTGCTTGATGAAGCTATCCAGGCTTACCCAAGGAGGATTCGGGTCACCATGTATGCACCCTGCCCTTTTTGAAATGCTTGGAAGGTCGCAACCAATCCCCTATCCACTTGTCAGTATCACTGCAAGGCTATTGCAGTCTTCCCAGAAAGACTGAGAAAATATTACCAGGCCACTATCTGTCCTCCAATCCAGAGCGTTGGTCCAATACGGTAAAGAACTAGGTTGCTCGGTATCTATGGATCATGTCAGCCGGATGTTTAGGATAAGGTAGGATGTCCCAGTTCAATCGACTGACTTCCAGAATCACGATGCCTGCAGATAACAATTGTTGACCAACGTTGAATTGGTTCTGTGTGATACCAACATCTCTAAGGAAATAGTCTGTCAATGCATTGCCACTGCTTTTGGTCAGATATTTTTACAGATCAGGTCCATTATGCTCAGATAGTCTTCGTACATGTTGCCACGGTCGAGCTGTAGGGCAAAGAAAGCGAGGATCAACAGCGGCATGATAATCAAATCAACTCTTTAAGCCCCCCCAAGTTAGCTTTAGTCCTCTGAAGCCAAAGAACGTTTGACAAACTTACTTTCGCACCAATTGTCGCTCTTCCTCCGGGCTCCAGTCGATATCGGGATTTTCGCCATCACTCTGACTTCCTGGGCTCTTGGCCACCATCTTGATTTGCTTTCCGTCTACTATTGCTACCATTTTGAAGAGCTGAGGAAATGTGGTTGGTTGTGTTGGTTACGCAGGCGTTGACTCGAAAGCAATACGTCGAAGGACGAACTCAACATGGCAACTTGAACCTTTGTATGTTCTCGAACAATTACTGATACACGGCAAGCTCTGCCAAAATGCATTCTCGAAAGAAAAAATGTACCTTGCCCCTCATTGATCCCGGCTTACCTGTCCAGGTCTCGCCTTGCTGTTCCGCGTCCCACATATGTTCCAGCTGTCAAACTCGGACTTCTTGCTCTGACGGAACGGAATATGTCATGAACGCAGCATTTCCGTGGAGAACTGAACAAATACCACGCGTCGCAGAGCCGATTTGTCGGGTCGTGTTCAAGCTGCCATAGGTCTTCTGGGCCGACACTCGGCTGTCTGCCGTCTGGACGTACAAGATGACCCACTCTCTCGTTGATGCCATCATCTGGAGCGCTCACGCCATCGACGGTGACCCCTTAGGATGCTCCAAACTCGCATTTGAACATCCACCCTCTACGCAGCTAGGCTTAGGTAAGATACTGATGCAATCACCTCTCGGGATTGCGAATGTCTTTGGTGCCAATCGGATGGTCAAATTTCTCGGGAGCGGCCGACTTTTCAACCATCGCGGCATGCGCATTGCCACTTTGCACCAGAGCGTCGGCCTTGTTCCGACACAGGTACCTTACCTTAGAAAGTCGCTATCTTCAGAGCTTGAAATAGCTAGATATCTTTCCATATAAGCTCAATTTCCCAATCATATTTCCAAACTCGAGGAAGTCACCTTAGATAAATTGGCCGCCTTTCTTTTGGTCGTAGCCTTGGACCTGGAAAAATATGCTGATAGATATTGAGAGCACTAACCACTTTTTCCAGGCTCTTTCGGACTGCAGAAGCACGCAGTCGTTGAAATGTCTAGTTGGCGACTGAGAAGGCGCGGGAAAAGCCCAACTTATATGTCACTTTAGCGTATGACACCCTCTTTGTTGCCCGCAAATCAGGAGAAAGCCCGGCGCGTCTAATCTCAAGGTCAGATCGCGCAATGTATAGATGTTGACGTGCTCGGTGGCACAAATTGAGGGGAAATTGTAATGCTGTTCTCGTAGTCAAAGTAACGAGGTCTTACGCTTCAACAAATATACCTCTCGGACATGAAATCCAGCTCATTCCAGTTTCCGTCTTCTTTCAGCAATATATGGACTCACTATGTCGAATTTGGAGTCTAGAAAGCATGTCTCCCCGGACTCAGGCTTCCCGATCTCCTTGCATCCGCACTTCCATCCCAAGATACAAAATCATGTACCTCTGGAGCCAGTTCGAGAGGAGAGATTTCCGGAGAAGGACAGGGCATCCTTCGCCGATCCTGAGAAGAAAGCCCTCCTTTCAGCTGCGAAGAGATTTGACTTGACAGAGTCAATCGGCACAGTCTTAGAAAGTGTGCAGTTGTCACAACTATCTACACAGCAACTGGATGAACTCGCACTTCTTGTTACTGAGCGCGGGGTTGTCTTCTTTCGGAACCAGGACCTGACAACTGAGGGTCAAGTTAAGCTCTTCGAGCATTACGGCACTCTCGACCGTCATCCCGCGCAGAAGGATGTGAAGTACGTTGTTATCAAGGGCAGCCGCGAGGATCACCGTGAAATACTCAAGTACACCCCTTGGCCCTCTGGAGACTTCCACGCCGACACGTCCTTTGAGATCAACCCGCCATCCTACTCCTTGTTGCGTATGGAGGAGCACCCTAACGTCGGCGGTGACACTGCCTGGGTTTCTCAATACGGACTCTATGACGCTCTCAGCAACGCCATGAAAAAGTTCGTTGACGGACTGCACGCAGTACACACTTCACGACTGCAATATGACACAATCTTGGATCTATGGGGTACTGGCCCAAATCGACCTCCCATCGATTCACACCATCCGGCTGTTAGAACCCATCCAGTCTCCGGCCTCAAGGCGCTGAATGTCAATCCAGGCTTTGTAACCGCCTTTGCTGAGCTCAAAAAGGTCGAGTCTGACAAACTTTTGGACTTTTTCTCGTACCATATCCACTCTGCCGATGACCATGCTGTTCGGTGGAAGTGGGAAGTGGGCAGCGTGGCCATGTGGGATAATAGGTGAGTTGGACATAACGCATTTAGGTCCTCGTGAACGTTTTCTTGTCCTCAGCTCACCCTTCTTAGATGTACAATTCATCGTGTCATTCCGGGGACTTACGATGGACCGCGTAAGGGTATCAGAACGACCGTATTTGGTGAAAAGCGTAAGTTTTGTCATCCCACTGGTAATGTCATTAGTCTAATGGCATACTTAGCCTATTTCGACGCGAGCAGCGAAAGCAGAGAAGAGCGGGTAGCAAGATTAAGCAGTCATTCAAGTCAGGTCTTAGTACAAGGGGTCAAGAAGGGCCCATGAGAGCAGACATGCACACGCAATTACATTAGCCAAAACTCGGAGACACGGTGGTGTCTCAACTCTCCACCCTCCCTTACTTATCGGCAATCTGAATATGGTAGAATTCGAACTCTTTTTATAGTGATTCCAGCGTAAGCAACGAGACCTGCTCTTTGAAGTCCGTCTTGCGCAAAATATCTCTAATCTGCACACATCCAACGTAGATATCCCGATGATTCTCGCCTTCTATCCAGCACCCAGATCTGACCCAAGGTAGTACTCAATCAGGCTTCCAGCCCTTTTGTTGTCTCTTCTTCATTCCCGCGTAACCTTCCAATTGGTATGTACGTGTATCGCAGTGTTGGTTTGCTCTCTGGTGAGTTTTCGTTCAGAATCGCCATCGTCATTGCTGCCCATCTCGTGCTCCTTGTCATTCTTGAGAAGTCAGCAAATCTCTCCCAGGACCTTACAAGCGGCTTGAATGCCATTGGAAAATTTGACAACTAACCAGTTCTATCCATGCTGTGTACTGACCAGGTTTGGGTTGCACCTTGATCTGCCCACTCCGCGATCCCTTGTTGAATGCACTCTGGCTATTGGAATTTTCGATCGAGGAGGACTTGTACTTGGCTCTCCATCTGAGGTAGAAGGGTCGAAGCATAGGGATATTGATGCAAAGACCTGCAAGCATGAGCTCGACCGTGCATAACATGAATGTAGTCAAGGAAGTGCCAGTCAAATTGCCAATGAGATCGATAACGTAGATCTGCCAGAATCGAACAATGCCAATCACACAGCATCTTCGCTGTATCAGTTCACCGAGCCATCGATAGCAGTATCAAGGGGGTTCAGGTGGATTGACTCACGCTAAGCCGAGGGCAAAGCAAGCAATAACAGCAAGCTTTTCGGTTTTTCGCATTTGCAATTGCCAGACAGTCCAGATAGGTAGAATTACAATGAACAGGTCGGTGACAAGGTTTGTCATGATAATGCACTTGAGCACCAGGATCTGGTCCATGCAGTGCCCGATTCGCTGCACTGTCCATTGTTGGGAAATCGGATTACAGAGGAAGATGAAGACGAAGGTGAAGACCAAAGCCCATGCAATGACAACGCTGCCAATAAGGAAGATCCACCACTTGAGTTGAACAGAAAAGGCTCTGTAATAGAACCAGAGCTGACTGAGCTTCAAGGACGCCAGTGCCCAAAGGTAGATAAGCGTGAAAGCAAAAGTCGTCTAGTTCACTTTTTATTAGGTATGATTCGTAGAATCGAGAGTTTGGGAGAATGTTCCGTTGCCGAAGTAGATACTATTCTTACCTTCAAGATGAATTGCATGTTATTGAGCACTATACAACATGATCAGCGCCTGAAAATTCAAAGCAACGATCGAAAGTCCAATGACGCCTTTGGGGTTGTTGTTTAATAGCACACCAGTCGCCTTAGACCACTCACATACATTTTGGATACACCTCAGAGTCAGGGTCGAAGTTGTACCCGACACCAGACGTAAGAACTGTGGTCTCAGTCATTATCCTATGGCTCCAGACTGGAAAGCCATGCCAAAAATACCTGCTGTATTCATGCCTATTGTACTGCCTGATAGAAACTGTGATATCTGTTAGACCAAGTGCGAGACGCAATCATCTACCAGTCGTAACTCACACAAGCAGCCAAAGCCAAGATATCATCTCCGCCAACGCCAATTCCACGATATCTGCCCCAGAGTCGAGCAAATACTACCGCTGCAAAAATTGCCCATAGAAAGCAGATAGCTATGAGCGAGTCTCTCGCGCCAGTCGTCATCGGGATATACATGGATGGCCACGACGCCAGCGTCGCTGGTGTAGCCATCGAGGGCAGTGTTCGATCGGGGTTCGGTTTCAACAAGTCGATGAACGGGAAATGCGTGATGGATGTGAGTCAGGTTCCGCCGAGTACTTCTTAAAGGGGAGGCATGGACAACAGATACACTAAGGGGAGATATATTGACGAAGAGTGGTAGTTCTAGTTCGTGGCGCCCCAGTAGTTAAAGTTATGACGCCCAGCCAGTCATACTCGGCGATATTTTGCGGCCCTGGCTAGGTTGAATTTGATCACGAATTTCAGCGCTCTGTAGTAGGCAACTCTGGATGAAAATCTCCGGCTGAATTGACTTAGCTCAAGCCGGGAGACATGTTTTTGGTTGCCGAGCTTTGAAGCCCTGCTTCCGGGTGCACCATCTGGTGTTGCCATGACTTTGCCTCGTCCTCCTGTGGACCACCGTTCCCAGGGTCTGCCAAGCCGTGACTCGCGGAGACCCATTGGTGATTCTGAAATATGACTGCACTGAAGTTGAAGCAGTGGCTTCCGTTTCTGATTTATCATTGACCACGGTGCTCCGCAAGTCGTCAATGTTTTGACCAGCGGCAACTCTAAAACTTGAGCGGAACATTGAGGGTGCCTTTCTGTGCCGGCACTTAGTAGACACTCATGTAATAACTTAAACTCACAAGGGTTCGACGAAGTGTCAAGTTCTTCATCTTGTGCTCCTCTTACTTGCATGTGAGAATTGGCGTCTAGAATATCGGCATAGATTAGCTGGAACGAAGTAGCGATACTTTGGGATTCAATTAGGGATACTGCTCCTCTGAACTTTCGGGGTCGTAATGTTTCGCCTGCTTTTTTAATGAATTGCAGGATGTATACGGAGTGCGTACAGATGGATACTCCTTCTAACCTGTTGGTTCTCTGAGCTCATGGAGTTCGCCGTTTCCCAACCATGGTTAACAAAAATTACGAGTGCTTGGCATCCGCTGACCCCGGTATTCTCAATCCTGAAGCGTCTCTCTTCTGGTTTAGCACTTATCTGTCGCTGGTGACCATGGACTCGCTCCGCTCAGTCTCACCAGAACGTCGCAAGTTCATGTTCATAACCAAGTTTGTTAGAGTCGGATTGGGCAAAGAGAAGCAGGCTGGGACTAGCACGCGGCCGCTTAACCGGGTGCTCACAAATGACTACGTGTCCGGAAAAAGGTTTCAAGCAGTTGATCTTCTCCTCAAATTGAAGTGAAAGCCTTCGCTCCTCGAATGAAAATTCACAAACCATTCCTGATGAAGAACTACATCTCGGCAGTCGGGGCCTGCACACGATCAGTTTTCCGAAAGGAGGCTGTCTGAGACTTTAACACATGCTGGAGCAGTGATGCTTGATAGGCATGTTTCGTTGATCAGAAGTAGTCAGATGGTAACCATTCAGTCACTCAGAGCAGAAAACTTCATTACTTGACGGTCCGATCGTCGTGAGGGAACCATGACTTCATTATCGACAAGATCCATCCATCAGACCCGAGCTGGCCATCGATTTGGAGCAGGCGTCTCTACATCGCGGGGGCTTTGAGTGCATCCCGTTGTTTTGAGAGGTAGAAATATCCTGTTAGTTTTGGACACATGGTGATACGGTTCATGTGCGGGTGTCCCCAGGTCATCTTGGCCTACAGTCTGGACTTCTCATCGGTATCGAGACGTGTCGTAAAGAACAAAAGCTTACTACTTGGTAGTTACGGATACAACTGCAATTGCCTGTTTATATTCAGCGAGAGAAAAAATGCTGACCCCGACTGGATGGTGAACCAAGTGTCACAAAGTTCCTAAAGTGGAGAGGTAGGGGATGTGTCTCCATTATTTGCCCCCGGTTCCATTCGGGTTCCCTGGGCGCTTGAAGATCTTGGAAAGATTCGTCTTAGTGCCATGTGCTGGTCACGTTGCATTCAGGCGGTATCTCTGTGCGTCCCGTTATTATGTCCTGGGCTCCTGACAAGCTTGAGTCCTGGCAAGCGTATCTTCAAGGATAGAGCTGTAGCGCAACCCCATTACGTTTCCTTCCTCCCACGACTGGAGGGGGAAAGATCTAGATCATGTTTTTTCCATCAAGACTACATGTAACGTGAGGTATACGGGAATCTTCTTGCTCACGATCGCTCATCTCCTCTGATGCCACTAAGAACCCCGGTTCGGAGCGTGTCGCCTGTTGCACTTCGAGGGGCTGGCCTAGCCACGGTATATGCGTCGACGGTCGGTGCTGTTGGCTCATTTAGGATTCTTCAATGGGCACAAGATGTCCCATCTCGGCATTGTGGGTCGCCCCCGCAGGCTCGCTGCACTAGCAAACGCTAGTTGGCTCCCCTCGTCAAGGTCGCTCCTTTTCTCAGGGGCTCGTTGTGATCGTGCTTTTTTCTTGATTTCCAGACGGGTCGCAGAAGCTGCTCTTCCGGCCAGTAAGCGCACGCCTTTTATCAATGTTGCGGTGGCTGGTGGGCCAAGGTGATTCGAGCTGCACTGCCTGGGTGGTGCAGGCAAAACATGTATGCAGTATTTATATATCCATTGGAAAGGTAGCTGTCACATAATCTTGCGCTTAGCAGAGGTTGCGTCGACGATATGACCTCTTGTGCACACTCGGTCCAGCGATTTGTGTCCGAAATGGCCTCCATCGCCATCGTAGATGGTCTCAAGGCTGCCCTGAGTCCCAATGCAGTCGCCTACTTTATTGTTCTTTATGTCGCTTATCACATCGTCGTAGCCTTGTATAATATCTCGCCATTCCATCCGCTAGCGCACTTTCCTGGTCCAAAGATCGCAGCTGCATCTTACCTATACGAAGCGTACTTTGACTGGTGGTTGCTTGGCAGATATGGCAAGGTCATTACACGGATGCATGAGCATTATGGTAGATTCGACGAGAACCCTAGTCTGAGACTTAATTCGCTGCTGACCAACATGAATCACAGGGCCCATTGTCAGAATAAACCCGGATGAACTTCATGTTTCTGATCCTTACTTCACTGACGAAATATATGCCGGTCCGGGCCGTATCCGCGACAAGTGGCAACATCAACTCAACACCGGTGGCGCAGGCCCTGTCTCGGTGACCGGCTTCTCCACCGTCAATCATGAGGTTCATCGAATGCGCAAGGGCGCTTTGTCAAAGTTTTTCTCGCGCCAGCAAATGCTCAAACTTGAGGGCGAGGTGCAGGAGTTTGCCCAGCTCACGGCAGATAAAATGCTCCGCTCAGCGGGGAAGGAGCCATTCGACGTGAAGGAGGCATTCAATTGTTTTACTGCGGATATCATTTCCCAGTATGCTTTTGGAGAACCCATGGGCTTCATCTCTCAGGAAGGATGGGAGCCCAACTTTGCTACTTGGGTGAAGTCCTTCTTCAAAAGTGCTTATATGATGAGACACAACGCTCTTGGTCGTAAAATGGCTCAAGTCATGCCTATGATGGCTGATTACTTAGGTGAAGACATCAAGTCTGTCATGAGACAGATGAATGTTGTCATCCCCGGGTACATCAAGGCAGCTCTGAGCAACCCGGAAAATGGAAGAGTCTTTGCCGATCTCATGGAATCCAAGACACTTCCCGACGAAGAGAAATCATTGTATCGACTTTCTGGGGAGGGCTTCAACTTCTTACTCGCCGGTACCGAGACCACTGCTGTGAGAATGAGTAACTTCCCGTTACGTGCCGCGTTGCTAATTGTTATGACACAGGCTACTCTGACTGTCGTGACGTACTACCTTCTCGCCCAGCCCCAGACCTATGCTCGCCTTATGGAGCAGTTACAAGGTCTCAACCCATCAAACCTGAAATGGACAGAGCTCGAACGAAAGCCTTACCTGTGGGCAGTCATTCACGAGTCTCTTCGCATGATGCCTGGTGTGTCGCACAGATCTGCCAGGATTGCTCGCGAGGAGGACTTGGTTTACAGGACCCGTGACGATAAAAAGGAATGGCTTATCCCCAGAGGAACCCCCGTTGGCATGACATCAATGATCAACCACTGGAACGAGGAACTCTTCCCAAAGCCCGGGGAATTTATTCCTGAGCGCTGGTTAATCGATGGTCAGCCGAACCACAAGCTGGAGAAGTTCCTCCTTGCGTTCGGGAAAGGTAGTCGCTCCTGTATTGGTGAGAAGTAAGTGCTTGTTCAGAGACCAAGGCTCTCGATCCTCAATGCTAACGACGCCTCTCAGCTTGGCATATTGCGAAGTCTATCATATGGTTGCCACGATGGCTCTCTGCGTCATACCGAGATCCAATTTATTTGAAACCACGGTCGAAGATATCTCTTACGACCATGATCTCATCGTCGTACAAACTAAGAAGGGCTCAATTTCTGTCAAGATAAAAATTACCTGAGATGTGTTTTACTGATTGTCAAGAGATTACAACAACACTCAAGGATGGGGTGACTATGACTGTCCATTGGCCGACTTCCGAAATTGGCGCTTCACACAAAACTTAAGGACCAGGCCGGAAGTGTCCATTCAGTGGTTCTTTCATTCTTGTTCCTGCCTTCGTTCGCATTGCTACACTGCGGCATAGGTACGGTGCTATCTCCAACATTAATCACAATCAGATATCATCAAGAGGAAGCCGAATGGGAATTGTGAGTAAGGCTCATCTCCACAGCAATCCACTTTAGTAGGAGTCCAATTCTCCTGAGATGCACATCTTTACTGCTTCTGCAGTGACTTGGTCTAGATCCTCAACCGGGAGGTTCAAGGCCATATTTGCCAACCCGTGCTTGTGCTCGACGTCACCGTCAGTCGCGGAGAAGAAAATGCGCGAGTACATCATTCGCGAGAACCCATTTCTATCCCCTGATCTCAGTGCCTCGTAGCCAGCTTCCCACCGCTTTTTCGAGCTTTCGTGGTTGATGACCCAGTCCTCGTTTGTTGTATTCGTGACCCTCTTCATACTTTCGAACATGTCTCTTTGAGATACCAAGAAGCTCGAGACGTAGAACACATCATTGGCCCA